CATTTTACTGTCAATATTTACGCATCACTTGTACTCAAGTGCAGTCAACTAGACCTTTAAATTAATAACGGTGCTGTCAATGCATGTTAGCTTATGTCATAAACACAATGTAAATCGGAAAAAAAGTTGCTACAACAAGAGCGGGAACGGTACAACTAACGAATCGGTATTATAGCAAGCAGAAAAATACAACATTACTTTATTTATGTACACACTTATTTATTTGAAAATGTGAAAGTGTGTCATATTTCATTTAATAAAGATTGCATGTTAGTATTGCCTCGAAGAACAGTCAGATATTTCAATATAACGGTGAAAAAGAAGACAATGTAAAGCATAGAGACCACTAGAGAAATTGCTATGATTTGTTTTTTTCTTCTTCATGCAGCGGTATACCTCTATCTTAGTTTCACAAAACTTAAAGTGGCGGCGTGGCCAACTGGTTAACTCGTCGGCCTTATAATCTAGACATTGCTGGTCGCGTGGGTTCAAACCCCGTCCGTCTAGGACAAGCCGCTGTTTCTGTGAACATTACAGTCATTGCTTAAGGCCTGCGCTTGCATTGCGTTTGCACAGCGTTGTTAAATCTAACAAAGCGCCGCGAGATTGCAATAAAAATGAGAATATTTTGATGACATGGAGACTTCACGGCGTTTTCACCGGGTCCTTATGACGATCATATAGATGCTTCGGAGCTCCCACAGCGTTTTAATTTGCGATAGTATGCGTTTGGACTGCGCTTATATTGCGTATTGCTTCCACTGCGCTTTTACGGTGCTCAAACGGCGCTCTCGCGGTGCTCACACTTTGAGAAGCACAGACACGAAGACACGATATTTTACACGAAAAGCGAAACATAAAGTGAGGCACGAGATTCTACCGTGAAATCTTGAGGTATGGGATACTTCGACATTGTAATATCTTGTATTATAATTTCGTGCCTCGCTTCGGTTGCCGTTGAATTGTCTCGTCTCGCCCGACTCTGCAAGTCTGATATTCCATAATTATGGCATTACCCGGATTCTTTAAGGAACTCATGCTCATTGTAAAAGTGCATTTTCAATGTCGGATCTGAAAGCAATAATTCTCGGAAAATGACGATATTTTATATATATACGGAGGGCTCTAAATGATCTAAGAAAGCATTATCTAAGAAAGATCATTTAGAGCCCTCCGTGGCCGAGTGATTTAAAAAGCCACTTGACCCCAACTGCTGTAGGTTCGACACTCACAAGCGGGAGGAGTTACGCTGTAACTTTCCCTTTAGGACGTAATAGTTATCGCGTGCGCATAAATATTTCCATTTTAGAATTTCATTGAAGAATGTGAAACCAATGTGTTACGAGGTGTCCTTCTATTGTGTGTCGAAAACATTTGTCTCATTTCCAATTTGTCGCAAAAATGAATGTTTAAGAGCACATCGGTCAGACCCCTTGAGACAAATGTGCTCAGAGAGACAAAGTGTACCTACACTGTTTAAAGGAAATACCTTGACAATAATGATAGGCATGTTCTTTGGCCTGGATGCCGAGCTCTTTCAAAATGCAGGTTAATGAACTTGTTATTTTATATGACATTTGAAAAACCTAGATAAAACGATTTTAATGTTTTCTTAGAAATAAATCGAAAGCTAATCTAATTAAAAAATATTTAGATATACCACAGGAGATTGACATTCTATCAATAATTGAAAAATATAAGCAAATAATTTGAAAATAACGACAAATATACCCCTCTATACTATAAATAAACACAAGGAATGCAACGCCTTTTGCACGTCAGCGCAATTGAGCGCCAGACAAAATTATTTGTTGACTTTTGAGTAAATATTGCAATTTATTTTTATGCAATCCTTTGATTTAAAATATCAGCGGTTGTAAGAGATATAATTTTGTATTTTTTATCGACATTGCTAAACTAGTTTGTTGTTTGTGTAATTAGATAAAATGTGTGTCGAGTGTGAAAAGGGCGTTGCATTCCTTGTGTTTATTTATAGTATTGAGAGGTATATTTGCCGTTATTTTTTAATCATTTGCTTACAGAATGTCAATTTCCTGTGGATATACGAAGAAAAGAAAATATGAATGGACTTTGCTTTTTTTTATATCATCACATTAAGTTATTAACATGATTGATTGATTGATTTTATTCCGGTAAAACACTCACATAAACATATACCTAATAAATTCAATTACATTTTATAATAAAAGTAAATATATAAAATTGTCCTTAACAAAGATACTTTAGGTAGTTTGTTAAAAATATCTGTATCATGTAAAAACAGAAAAGTAAATAAATAAATAAATAAAAAATGAATGATTAAATAAATAAATTAATTAATTAATACAACCAGACTAAAATTAAATATAATTTGGATTGGACTAGATATAAGATTGTAAAATACATACGTATCATGTAATTATATCAGCAAAAGCATGTAGAGAGTGTACTGACAATGAAAGCCAGAAGGCTTATTTCCATTGGGGTCTTTGGACATATACTTACCAAAATGAGAAAGAGAATTAAACAAACATAAATACAATTAAATCAATAACTTAGTATAGTATTGTCCAACAACATTGACCTGGCCCTCTTACATTTGACATTGTAGTCGGTATATTCCGTAAACGTTACGATCTACTTGACAATCAATATGAATGTTAATATCCAATTGTTAAAATGGTGTAAATTAAAATTCCCTCTTAGCGCAGTTGGAAAAAAGTTTTCACTTGAAGAATGAAGAAGAAGACTGGTAGGTTCGATTCCTATTTCAGCGATTAACTTTTTATTTTAATTTTGAAATTGCAATTCTCTTTAAACTTTAGTACTGTGTGTACTATCTATGTAGAATTTTAAATACCTGCCTGTTTAGCATATATGCGCTTAAGCATATACGATTGCGTACTGTCACAAAAAGAACCGTTGAAAGATACTGTAATGAAATAAAAGACATAATTGTCCATAAAGACACCACTCAAAAGGTATTCTTAAACCAGTTGTAGTAAAACGATTTCAAATTAATTCTTGCAATTAAATTTAAAAAAAATCATAATGTTAGGTATCGAACCAGAGACCTTCAGATCGGTAGTCCGGCATCTATACCAATATCTATACCAATACACCACGCCACAATGACGAGTGAAGTTAGCAAATATATCGATATATTCGAAAGGTAATGGTCAATGTTTATTCATATGACATTTCCGAAAATTAATGAAGTGCCAGGTCAATATTGTTGGACAATACGGTATTCTTCCAACAAAGAGTTCTCGGGTTATCAATCGTTTGGGTTATTAAGATCACCGGGTCATAGTTATAACAATATTTTTCAAACCTTACAGTTTCCTTTGTTTACCGTTCATGAGATCAATGCCGAAAATATGTAGAAAAAAAGACGCCACTTTTATAAACGTGCGGATATTCAGAGTAGTTCAAATTCTAATGACACACTGCGCATGTAACATTAAAATTCGAGGCATCTGTCATTTGTTAGGGACGAGGGCAATTCAGTTCTTATTATGTTATATCATTATATTAGACTAAATGAAACGAATAACACCAGTCTGTAATTAAAAGCTGAAACATCATACATACTAGCAAGGTCGTTTATGGTTTACATGTGACAGAATTTAAGAATTTTAATTATATCCATTTCAAGACATATTTCTACAGTTATAAATATTATAAAGGTAGAATTTGTCAAATCTTGTTAACTGTATCGGACGATTTCGGATGACTATCTTGGTACAACTTAAATAATAACTCACACATTATACTGAGTGTCATATAACCGAATTTTCAACCTTGACAAGATACACTTAATGAAGCCTCAGTTCACATTGACTTGTCTTGTGTGAACATTCAATTCTACCATCATCAGTTGGACGTGATATGAATATAGTACCCCTATTAATACATTTCAAAATCATGTTGCGTGAGTAATAATGGAATTTTGTATATGTTGTTTATGTCATCTATTTTAAGGTAATAATCACATCTTTTTATTTTTAACAAGTGAAACACTGACGGGTCTCACATAAAACAAAGAATCTGTTTAACAGACAATAACGGCATCATGGTTCCATTTCTTAACGAACTTTTTTTTTCTATTTTCCAACTATAAGCAATAAAAATACAACAGTACAAACCCGCGAGAATTACATTTCCATTTCAAAAGAATTTTAGCTTACTTATTGCTTTCTTTTACTTTTTTATATCGGATCTAGCGTATTTCACAATTTTTGAATTACTTGTTTTACATTTTAGAAGAATAAAATGCAAGTTAACACCCACATAAGCGGACATTTTCCTCTAATTATCTCATGCTGCACTTAATTACGCGAGAACTCCTCGAAAATTCAACAAAAGTAAAATCTTTTTTTTTATATGTCGCAGTAATTGCCGTCATTGCGACTTTTTTTCACACGGTTAGGTCATTGCGTATAATTAGTATAACTATACCTCCGACACTTTTCTTTTTCTGTTTTCCATCATAATATCGGCAATTTCAATAATATAATCCTTTAAAAGATTATGCCAATTATGTCAGTGCTATGAGGTTCGAGATGAATATCATTTTATTCTTAGATGTAATGCTTACCAATATTTAAGAATCCAATTAATTAAACGTCATTTTAATTAGAGAGTGATCTAGTTTGGTCTTGTTTGAACTAAATAATGAATATGCTCAAAATATAATAATAAGATCGACAAGGAAAGGCGGCGTTCAAGTCAAACAACAGATCGGTTCAAAACAATCTTAGCTAATTTATATATACTAGGATATAATAATGCTCATTATACTGTAAGTTGCAAATGTATTTTATTAGTGAAAAAAGTTACCGCAACTTCTAGTCAATATCTAATTTCATAATAAGTAAAGCTTATTCTCCGGAATATATACATATATACTGAACGATTAAATATTTTGTTCTTTTTAATACCAACTGTGTAAAACAATTGCTATTTACAACTAGTAGTTTTATGTATAAAGTTATAAGTTAAATAGAATTTAATTCCTTTGCTTCTTCCTCCTCTACTTCTAATTCTTCTTTTTTCTTCCTCTCCTTCTTCGTTTTTTCCTTCTTCTTCGTTAAAAATCTTTCAAGACCTATCCTGGCCAAACTTTCATGTACTGCTTGCAAAGCAAAATTCATGTACGACAGTGAAAATACAGCGTATTACCACTGTTGTACAGCGTCCACCTGATATAGCCTCTCAAAACTCCGAAAACGAAAGTAAAATGTTTACGTAGAGTTCACCCAAGGTAGTGTTTCAACTAATTTCTTTATCATAACTTCATCGATTTTTCCAAACTAAACAATTTTGTGAAGCTAAATATGAAAAAATTTATCAAGGTATATAGATTTAACGCAAGGGCAGCTAATTAACTACAATTTCCATGCAAACCTACCTCAAAATATCAATGTTTTTTTCAATTTCATCCAGGTTTAATTGGTTTGATTAGTTCATTTTGATAGCGACATAATAACAAAGTAAATATTCATTTTTACGACACCGTTTTTGTCCCTAAAGTCTTGGAATGTTAAGCATTACCAATCGCTTGTTTATAAACAATTGCAACACAATCCCAAAAACTACAGTCAAACACGTGTAAAAGACCACCTCCGATATAAAGACCGCCCTGTAAATGAATACCGCTCTTCACTTCACTATAAAAAAACAACAGATCATTTGTCAATAAAGAACTCTGTTTAAGATTACCTTTAATTAAGCAGGATTGTGTCTTTGAAATACATCTACGATGTCACAAAATATATATTGTTTTAAATTTATTGAAGGTGTCATTTATTGTGGGTCACTTACATTGTATCAATATATATTTTGTATCCTACAGTAAAGAAAAAATGTTAACTCGCTCTGAACGGCGTTGAATGAACATCGCTAATTTGGCGGATTACAGTAAAAGCCATCAGTTATAATCCGGTATAATGAAGTAAAATGTAGATCACGTCGGCATGTAAATAGGTCAACGCAGGTAAAACAAGAAGTATCTTTAAAACACACAGAAACTGAATTATAAGCATACTGAAATTGATGTCTCTTAAAAATAGGACTACTTCTATTTAACTGTATCTATTTAGGTGTCACTAATACTTTTTATACATTTGACTTTACATTTTTTGTAATCATATGCAGAATCACATACGAAATGTGGCAAATGGGAATGAATTATAATGAACAGTTTAAAATCAGCAAACTAGTTACTAATGCATTATTTTTTATTTAATGCAAATAGCTATGATAAAAAAAAGAAAAGTATAACACAAAAGCTTTGTTAACCAGCCTTAACTGGTTGACCAGCGCTTTAACTAAAGGGTTAAAGGACTAATCAATCATTTTTATTTTATCCTTTACATTTGCTTTCATAATGGCAAAAACGATCAATTACATGTTATTCTAGAATGTCCAATGAGATTTCAGTTTGAAATTTTAAAATTACCAATGAAAATTATTCTAGTATTCTGTTCTTATCTGTAAATTTTACAGGAAGTCAAACTGATATAAGATGGCCTTCAGCCGACAAAAACACTATATTTTAATCTATATGTTTAGCTTCAAAGAGAGGATGATATACTTATTTATATTTACATTCAATCATTATTAACTACATTAATTACTTATTTGCTAAAAAACTTCAAACATTCCATTTGTATTAAAGCAATGCCGATTGTTTACGGTAAGGCTTCGCTACATGTGCAAAATAAGCATGTGAAAAGGCAATATGCAAGTTCTAAGAAATAGTGAGAATTGTGGAAACATAATTTGTAATATCTTATATAAGTCTGTCTACATGATATAAACGGATACTTTCTATCTACGTTTCAATATAAATATGAATATGAATAGATTGAACGATCTAAAAATGCACCTTTTTTTCTTAAAACGTGACTTGATTAGTGTCAGTAATCACACCGCACTCGATAAAACGGTACAACACTTCAAGTTATTCACTACGACGTGGTAGTATATACATTAAACACGAAATCGGTTGAGATACAATGCCATGTAATTACATGTACATGTATATATTCTGGCAACCAAATAAAGATTTTCAAAATTAACTTAACAATGTCCTGCTGATGAATTGATAGCCCTGTTATCGCTTGATTTACCTTGTAAGTGAATTTAAAAAAATAATCATTTTTTCAATGTCGATGTTTCATGAAACGTCCAAGTAAGTTTACGCATGTTTTTACATCGATTTAAACATTCTATCTCAAATTGACACACTAAAGTCTGTCCATCATCCAAGTTGATATCTCTTTTGGAATCTGAATGACGATAAAAAATCGGTGGCAAGTCTTGTAAAAGACGAGAATAGAACAAAGTATTTCCTGGGATTCTTTTGTAGTTATAAATATAAATATAACTCAAAATAGTTCGTTGAATATCTCGCTTATTCGATTTTACTAAACATTTAGCCACACCATTAACAAATCACGTTAACACTTATTTTGATAGTATACAGCTTGTTCAGGCAATTTAATTCTAATTGCCGGACAGTGTTGCAATTGTAAATCAAAGCAAACTTAAATCTCATTTACAGGGATTGAAAGAATAAACTTTAAAAACATAAAGACTCGGATTTTCGTTTAAATATATATTTCAGGAAATTTTGAATCGCATATATTGTGTATAAGGAATATAAGCACTATACATAAAATTAGTGTTTAAAACTGTCATAATTTCGTGAAAAGAACGTTCATATACAAGAATGTCTCCGATGATTCTTTATCTTAATTTATGCCATTAGTTCTTCATTATTTATTCAAATTAATATTCCGGTTATAAATTTATATCTCACGTAAGTTAGCGTTAAAATTAAGCTGTGATTTTATCTAAAATTTGTTTGAAAAAGATATTTGAAAAATAACCATCGCATATTATCTGTACCAATTTCGTGCAAGTAAAAATAGTCAAGTCTATTGTCGCAGCGAAGTTTTTTTTTACTATATATACGGTGTTGTTATAAATCATCTATAATTTACTTTTGGCAAGGGTACAGAACCAAATATACATGTACATGCAAAGTAAGAAACTTTATGGCGTGATTTCTAGATATAATATCTCATCAAAGCTAAACAAAAAGATAAAGAACTGTATCGTTTTCATTTTTATTTATTCTAAGTACACTACATTATATGATGAACGAATTTACTCGCAAACGACTAACTTATTTATATCTCTTTCTGGCCCAGGTTTTATCTAAGACCTTTTTCGTTTTCAGCAGCAGATGTCGCGTCGGATGTAATAGTTACTTCCGGTAGCAGGTTGAAGGTGCACTGAGTAGTCAGAATCATATATTTTACATTCTACTGTTACTTTATTCAATGTGTATGTCCAACATAACTCGTTCCGCACACATAAATCTGCACATTTCATTCTGGACGAGGTGGTTGTCGTATTTAATGGTGATACAGAATTATCTATCACAGCATTCTGTTGCTTTATCTTAAAGTAGCCTTTAAGTTCGGCACAGGTTTCTGTCACTGGAACTGTTGAATGAAAAGAAGTTTAAATAATTTTATATCATTTAAGATTCATTACTTAAACACACGAGAATGTTATCTTAAGATGTTTAAATGCTGATGATATCATTTTCCTAAGCATATTGATAACATTCTGGGACAAATATACAAATATTGTTTGTGTCTCGGAAATTAAAACACTGTGTCTGATTTTTTTACTCTTAAATAAATATAATAATTTTCCCTAATAAAGTGTAAAGCCTTTACTTTGATAATTGTGAACTTCTTTCCATTGGATAATTCGTGATTAATCTCCTATATTTTCATAAGAATTTATGCCTTCATATATGTTCAATTTATAAAGTTTTCAAAGATTATATTTTCTTTCTTGTTTTCGTTATTTAGTGTAATGATGTATGCCCATTTTTAGCTCCAAATAAAGACAATATTTCAAGAAAACCCAAAATTAAATAAATGCTACAACGTATGACAAAGCTGGTTGACTGTATGTGAAATAGTGGCGACAAGTAAAGCTATTTCTAAAATAGTTAACATTTAACATTAAAACAGAACAGACTGAAAAGAAAATCAATATGAGGCTTTTGTACAAGTATACAAGGAACAGTAAGCTGCCATTATAATAAAGATTTCTCTTTGCAGAAATTGTTCTGATTGTACTTTCGTGAACGATTACACGCAAAAGTTATTTAAGCACAAGTAATGTACGTGAATAATGATATACGACCAAACCTACATTAAGAAAATAACGTCTTTTTGTGTCATGATATTTTCATAAACAGCCGTCACATATCAATACATGTCATATACATAAATATAGAATTTTTTTCTTGTTGCCAAGATAAAATATTTGAAAGCAAGCCATGTTCAAGCTATAAATGTATGCAAAAATGGGTACTGAAATATAAAAACTTTTGACACATTTGAACTACATGATAAATTTATACCTAGGGGCAGTTGCCAGGCTCCCCCTGTGCACTCATCTAACGAATCATCTAAATGGCAATCTTTTGAGCCATACATGTTAGCGCAAATAATATTCCCGAAGAAAGGTGGTCGTTCAGGGTAGAAAGAGGAGCCGAATCTCAGCATAGCTGGTTGTTCTATTTCGGCATCCATTGCGGTTTCTGTTAGAAAGTCAATACCCATATTGGTAATGATCCGTGTCTTCTTCTTCCCATCATGACTTACACATATTCCTGTCCAATTTTGAACCAGTATTACAGCGTCTAATGCCACCGCTGTGAAGCCATATTGTTCATCATTTGGCCCAAACGTTTCCGCAATCAAATGCGTCTCATTGTTACTTAGAATCACATCTTTGATTTGTATAATGTTGGTGTCAACGGCGGCTGAATCCACTCTGTAATGAAATATAGTTCCGACACCGGAGAGACTTTGCCTCTTAACGTATATAGTTATTGCAAAATCATCTATGCTATGCGCATTCCCTATTGTTACGTCAATGTAAGAGTAAGAACTTCCCGACATGTAAATGCCATTGTAATTAAGTGTATCATACAATAATCCTTGTTGATGAGAACAGCCTGTTTGTCCCTCGGTAACATTCGCCCTCTTCTCGAGTAGAGGGTTCACAGTGTCTAGAGGCCATGTATACTTTGGGTCACCATGGCATGTGTATACCTGCAATAATGCTGAAAACAGAACGAAAAGTTACCAAGACTGTCTTTTCGTATTTATTTATGTTTCTGCACTTTATATTCTAATCTACTTTGATATTTAATCATGCAATTACATATATAATAATTATGCTCTTGAGTTATTAGGAAATTCTGAATAGAATTGGCAACTAGGAAATTAAAAATGTTATAGTAAAACTGCGATATTGTAAATATCTAAATGCTTTCATATAAACATTAAGTTAAAGGTACTCCACTGAAATCTAAAAGCCTTAAACTATTATAAATTCAAATTTTTACACAGATAAGTTGGGGCATATAAAATAGAAAAATATGCAAAAGATCATTTACAATTTACTCGAAAATAAACTAAAAACCGTACAATTGAGACATTCTTAGCCTAATTGAGTGGTCTGATTTTGCAAAAACCTACTTACTTACATGCAGATAGTACATTTTATATTCCTTGAAATTGCATGTTTAAAACAACTTTAAGACGGTGCTGAATAAAACAGAATGTCTATGTGGTTTTCACAAGTAATATGACATAGTCACTTGTATATGATGTATAGTTGAAATCATCCATCCAATTATGTACTGAATTTAGCTGTTTTAAACGATGATTAAAATGTAATGTTTAAAGTCATGTACATAAAATCTACAATTTGTGCAGGTAAATCGTACGTTACTTGATAAAACAATAAAAATAAAGGTGTTGTCCTTCATAAGTTGTCTTTAAATACACAATATACTATGAAGGTGTTTTATGTACATCGTCCATGTATTTGAAATTAATTCTGACTGTATAAAGATACTACATTAAATTGGACAGTGACTTATAGCCCCATAGGCCATGTAGGCCGGGTGTTTTAATAACTTGATTAAAATATTTGTATATGTTTATTTTGTAAGTAACACATGCCACTTTATTAAACAATTTACTTACCTACTTATAATATTTTAAGGTAGCTCGCTACTTTCCGACCGAAATTTGACAATATCTCAGATCTTGATGATTTTTGGTATACATAAATATAGATATGTAAGCTTCACTTCTGCAGCATTATTTTACAAATAAACAGCGTTACTATGACGTCAAAGCGCCGTCTATCGATGGCGGCGAAATTGCGTCTTTTTTTATCAATAAACCGGTCTGTTCTTACTAATTTTCATCCGATTTCCTTCGTTTTAATTTTATAATGTTCAGTAAATGTATGTCTTTGAAATAATGTCTTTCTTTAACATTTGCTTAATACTCTGCGATTCTACGTCATTTTTCTCTACATTCTGACGTCCATTTATGATACAAATATCGCGCGATATCGCAATAAAGATTGTAAAATAACAAAAAAATCAACACGGTGAATTTTGCTATAATTTTTTTAACATGTAGTGAAGCCATGAAAGAAAATATTTATGCAATAAAAATATAGGGTCAACTCGTAAGATATTTTGCTATTACTATTTTAATATAAGATAAAGGATGAGTAAAACGTAATGATTTCTCAAGGAAATTGTCACGACTTTTCCGATGAATAGTATACTGACTGGAATTAAAATGTGTGAAAACCATTAACAACAATTGTATTTAGACATATTTCGTAAAATGTTCTTTTAAAAGTCCTGTCAGGTGCCCGCATTTCGATGAACAACTTCAATTATATACATGTACAACAAATCAGGGTATGACTGTCTGCAAAAGTTTGTATCAATCTCTAAAAAACTGAAACGAATGGTTATAAATACCTCGAGGACTGAAAGACAATTCAGAATATTGAAAGATATAATTAAAATGTTCGTGAAGTTGGCAGCCTAGCAGCCCAGCAGCCTGAAGTTGGCAGCCTAACAGCCTGACAGCCTAGCAGCCTGGCAGCCTAGCAGCCTAAATAAAACTAAGAAAAGTACAAACATGAAATCGTCGGATATGAATCGGAAGCACATACTTAGACCATTGCACGTCTTATTTCAGTATCGCGATCTTTATTTTTTTAAATATTGAACTTTGTTTTTTTTTTATTTTGACGCTTCGAAATTTGTGAAGTTAGCAGCCTAGCAGCCTAGCAGCCTGGCAGCCTAGCAGCCTAGCAGCCTTAAGAGAACTAAGGACAATACAAACATGTAAACCGTCGGAAATGAGTCGGTAGCACATACTTGGACTATTCCACGTCTTTTTTCAGTATCGCGAACTTTATTTTTTTAAATATTGAACTTGGTTTGTTTGTTGTTTTTTTGACACTTCGAAATTTGTGAAGTTAGCAGCCTAGCAGCCTAGCAGCCTAGCAGGCTGGCAGCCTGGCAGCCTAGCAGCCTAGCAGCCTAAAGAAAACTAAGGACAATACAAACATGTAAACCGTCGGAAATGAGTCGGTAGCACATTCTTAGACTATTCCACGTCTTTTTTCAATATCGCGAACTTTATTTTTTTTATAATGAACTTTGTTTTTTTTTACTCCTCGAAATTTGTGAAGTTAGCTGCCTAACAGCCTGGCAGCCTAGCAGCCTGGCAGCCTAGCAGCCTAACAGCCTAAAGAAAACTAAGGATAATACAAACGAAATGAGTCGGTAGCACACACTTAGACCATTCCACGTTTTATTTCAGTATCGCGATCTTTATTTTTTTAAATATTGAATTTTATTTTATTTTTCATTCTGACTATTTCCGACGGTTTTCATGTTTGTATTATCCTTTGTTTTCTTTAGGCTGCTAGGCTGCCTGGCTGTTAGGCTGCTAACTTGCCTGGTTTAATGAAAGTCATAAACCTGAGAATTGAAACTAGAATAAATAGTTGTTATTAGTCCCCTTCTGTTATCACCAAGAGGGGACTAATAACAACAATTTATTCTAGTTTCAATTCTCAGGTTTATTACTTTTCATTAAACCAGGCAAGCTAAGATACATGTTATAACTTATGAAGTATGCTAGCTCTGAATGTATTTACACAACATTGCTAAACATTACACAATATTTTAATAAATTTTGGAATGTGCAGTCATATGTTACACAAGTCCCAGGAGCTTCAATTCATGGAAACTTTTGGGGAAAACAGTCAAAATATCACATTTAATTTATCACTGCTGGGTAAGTGTCATGGTTTTGTTTGAAGCTTAAACAACTAGATTTAACATTTTCCTTCAACACAATGTTCTTGACAGATGTTCGTGAAGTTGGCAGCCTAGCAGCCTGAAGTTGGCAGCCTAGCAGCCGAGCAGCCTGGCAGCCTAGCAGCCTAAAGAAAACTAAGAATAGTACAAACATGAAAACCGTCGGAAATACATTAGTAGCACTTCTTTAGATCATTCCACGCCTTTTTCAATATCGTGATCTTTATTTTTTAAGATGTTGAACTTTATCGTAACATAATTTTTTCATTCTGACGCTTCGAAATTTGTGAAGTTAGCAGCCTTGCAGGATAGTACAAACATGAAAACTGTCGGAAATGAATCGGTAGAAAATACTTAGACCATTCCACGTCTCATTTCAGTATCGCGTACTTTATGTTTTTTTAAATAATTAACTTTTTTATTTTGACACTTCGAAATTTGTGAAGTTAGCAGCCTAGCAGGATAGTACAAACATGAAAACCGTCGGAAATGAGTCTGTAGCACATACTTAGACTATTCCACGTCTTTTTTTCAGTATCGCGAACTTTATTTTTTTAAATATTGAAATATTGAACTTTGTTCTCTTTTTTTTTTTTTTTTTTTTTGAGACACTTCGAAATTTGTGAAGTTAGCAGCCTAACAGCCTAGCAGCCTGGCAGCCTAGCAGCCTAAAGAAAACAAAGGATAATACAAACATGAAAACCGTCGGAAATGAGTCGGTAGCACATGTACTTAGACTATTCCACGTCTTTTTTCAGTATCGCGATCTTTATTTTTTTGTAATTAATATTGAACTTTGTTGTTTTTTTCTGTTTTTTTTTTTTTTTTTTTTTTTTTTTGACGCTTCGAAATTTGTGAAGTTAGCAGCCTAGCAGCCTGGCAGCCTGGCAGCCTAGCAGCCAAAAGAAAACAAAGGATAATACAAACATGAAAACCGTCGGAAATTAGTCGGTAGCACATACTTAGACTATTCCACGTCTTTTTTCAGTATCGCGGCTATTGATCAAATGGGTATTGTTCTTAAGTTCAGATAATCTTTATGTTCATTAATGTGTTCGTTTAAACATATGCATTGTATATCTCTTTACATTTCAACCGATTTATCTTTACAGACCTAAAATAAATATGCGTTGAACATCGTCAACTTCATTATAAACATATACATACAAAATAGCATATCATAAATAAGTCACATGACGTCGCTTATTGTCCATAGACAGCGACATTATTAGCCGTTAAATGTTAAGATTAAGACTACTTCCAACGTTATTCGAAAACATGTTTAATCCCGAAGCGTCAGAATGAAAAATAAAATAAAATTCAATATTTAAAAAAATGAAGATCGCGATAACGTGGAATGGTCTAAGTATGTGCTACCGACTTATTTCGTTTGTATTATCCTTAGTTTTCTTAAGGCTGTTAGGTTGTCAGGCTGTTAGGCTGCTAACTTCACAAATTTCGGAGAGTAAAAAAAACAAACAAAGTTCAATATTAAAAAAAATAAAGATCGCGATACTGAAAAAAAGACGTGGATAAGTCTAAGTATGTGCTACTGACTCATTTCCGACGGTTTACATGTTTGTATTGTCCTTAGTTTTCTTTAGGCTGCTAGGCTGCTAGGCTGCCAAGCTGCTAGGCTGCTACCCTGCCAGGCTGCTAGGCTGCTTACTTCACAAATTTCGAAGTGTCAAAAAAAAAAAAAAAAAAAAAGTTCAATATTTAAAAAAATAAAGTTCGCGATACTGAAAAAAGACGTGGAATAGTCTAAGTATGTGCTACCGACTCATTTCCGACGGTTTACATGTTTGTATTATCCTTAGTTTTCTTTAGGCTGCCAGGCTGCTAGGCTGCTAACTTAAGAAATTTCGAAACGTCAAAAAAAAACAAAAAAAAAAACAAAGTTCAATATTTAAAAAAATAAAGATCGCGATACTGAAATAAGACGTGCAATGGTCTAAGTATGTGCTTCCGATTCATTTCCGACGGTTTACATGTTTGTATTGTCCTTAGTTTTCTTAAGGCTGCTAGGCTGCCAGGCTGCTAGGCTGCTAGGCTGCCAGGCTGCTTACTTCGAAGTAAGTAGTTTTCTTGAAGCTGCCAGGCTGCTAACTTCACAAATTTCGAAGCGTCAAAATAAAAATTAAAAAAAAACAAAGTTCAATATTTAAAAAAATAAAGATCGCGATACTGAAATAAGACGTGCAATGGTCTAAGTATGTGCTTCCGATTCATATCCGACGATTTCATGTTTGTAATATTCTTAAACTGGTTTTCTTTAGGCTGCTAGGCTGCTAGGCTGCCAGGCTGCTAGGCTGCCAGGCTGCTAGGCTGCCAACTTCAGGCTGCTGGGCTGC